AACCACCTACCACATTTTTTTCACCACAGTAATAGATGAAATGGCTCTGCTTAGTGAGATTTTTTTCTTACTGCACATTGTTTGCTAATATGTCAGTGTGCCCTCTGGATGGTGAGACTCTCAATGCAGTGACTCTTTCTGGCTCATCTTTTATCACCTTTCTCCTGGCAGCGAGGAAACTAGGTATAAGTTCATAGCCTTACCTAATTAGCATATACAATAAGTAAAGTTATTTCCTAAGCCTCTCCCCATCTACACTCTGGGCCTTCTATCAATCACAGGTCTTCAACTTATGTTTTTTAGAATCCCATAGGAATTTTGAAAAACTATGTAAGCTATTTTTCATTTTGAGATGACTGCTATAAATTTTATCATGAGTTTCATATTTACAAAATATGACATTTGAGACATAGTCTTTATAATGTATTTACTTCAAAATGTTATAGTTATAGATCAAGTATATTAATTTGTGGAAAAATCCAATAGGTAAATCTAAATCTCACTGTTAAACCACTCAGATTACATTTTAGTTTTCAATTAAACACATGTTAATAATACCTGCTCCCATGACAACCATATCACTTCTGAAGTACATTTTTTTTTTTTTTTTAGACGGAGTCTTGCTCTGTTGCCCAGGCTGGAGTGCTGAAGTACATTTTTTAAAAGAATAGTGGATAAACTGGTGGGTGGATATATATAAAATGAATGGACAGATATACACACACACACACACGCACACATACATATATACACAAACACACACACACACACATATATATATATAGAGAGAGATTGTTTATGTATACACCTGTACTAAAACAAATCTTCATTTTATTTCCTTTCTCCTTCATCATGTGACATAAGATTTATTGACTTCACATCAGCATTTAAGTATTGTTAACTTTGTGTAATAGTATTTGGAGTGGGGATTGGTGCATTTCCGGTTGTAGGAAGGATACTTGTATTATGTTAGGTGTAATTATGACCTTATTATTGTATTTATTTGAATATTATGTATGATTTCAGGAGATGGGTTCAAGTTAACAAAAGGTGGATTTGGGATGGTTAATTCTGAGTGCCAACTTCATTGGATTGAAGAATACAAAGTATTGATCCTGGGTGTGTTTCTGAGGGTGTGGCCAAAAGAGATGAACATTTGAGTCAGTGGGCTGGGAAAGGCAGACCCACCCTTAATCTGGGTGGGCACAATCTGATCAGCTGCCAGCATGGCTAGAATATAAGAAGGCAGAAAAACATGAAAGGAGAGACTGGCCTAGCCTCACAGTCTACATCTTTCTCCTGTGCTGGATGCTTCCTTCCCTTGAACATCATACTCCAAGTTCTTCAGTTTTGGAACTCAGACTGGTTCTCTTGCTCCTCAGCCTGTAGATGGCCTATTGTGGGACCTTGTGATCATGTGAGTTCATACTTAGTAAAATCCCCTTTATATATATATATTCCACTAGTTCTGTCCCTCTGGAGAATCCTAATACACTATTCTAGATGCCATTAAGAACATGCATGATTCATGAAAAGAGAGCAAAATATACACTAGAACAGGAGTTTGGAAGATGTTGATTCCAGCCCTCATAGATGGATGACTTTGAGGAATTCAAGACCAGTGGGGAAAGTAATTGCAGATGTGGTGAAAATAGCAAGAGAACTAGAATTATAATTGAAGATTGAATATTACTGAATGGTTGCAATCTCATACAATTTTCACAAATGAGAAGTGGCTTTTTATGGATGAACAAAGAAAGTGGTTTGGTGAAATGGATTTCACTTCTAATGAAGATGCTATGAAGAATGTTGAAATGAAAACAAAGGATTTAGAATATGACAAAGATCACTGATAAGATCATGACAAGGTTTGAGAGAATTATCTGTATACTACGATGTCTGCCCAAGGACAAAGTTACCTAACAAAGCCTTTCTCAAGAAGATAGCCCAGGCATTACATGACACTTGACTGTCATTAGTGACAGGAAAAGAGTTACTTTTGCCATTTTTAATTTTTTTCTCCATGTCTATAGCTTTTGTCCTTCATATCCATCATTGCTACCATTTTGTGAGATTACATAATTTTTTAAATGACGTTTAGATTCCCTTCTCATTTCCCCTTGAGTATATTCTACAGTCATTCTCTTTGTAGTTGCTGTGGGGATGACATACAACTTCATAGAGTTATAACAATTTACATTGAATCAACATCAACTTCCATTTCATATAAAAACTCTCCTTTTCCCAGGTTTTTTCCCCACTTCACATTATTTTTGTCACTCATTAGAACATTATATATTGTGTCCATATTAACATATAATTATACTCATTTCTATGTTCTATTTTAAATTCTGAAGAAAAATAGAATACAAACCAAAATTTCAAAAATACATGTTTTCGCATTTTGCCATATATTTATTTATCGCTCTATATGGCTTTAAGTTACTGTCTACTTCCTTTTATTCAGCCTGAAGTATACCCTCCAGCATTTCTTGTAGAGAAAACAGGGCTGGTAGTTTCTGTAGAATTTTGTCACATTCCAAGGGTTCCTGAAGCCAGGCATTGAATTTTATGAAATTTTGAGTAACTGTCTTTTTTTTTTTTTTTTATACTTTAAGTTCTAGGGTACATGTGCATAACGTGCAGGTTTGTTACATATGTATACTTGTGCCATGTTGGTGTGCTGCACCCATCAACTCGTCATTTACATCAGGTATAACTCCCAGTGCAATCCCTCCCCTCTCCCCCCTCCTCATGATAGGCCCCAGTGTGTGATGTTCCCCTTCCCGAGTCCAAGTGATCTCATTGTTCAGTTCCCACCTATGAGTGAGAACATGCGGTGTTTGGTTTTCTGTTCTTGCGATAGTTTGCTGAGAATGATGGTTTCCAGCTGCATCCATGTCCCTACAAAGGACACAAACTCATCCTTTTTTATGACTGCATAGTATTCCATGGTGTATATGTGCCACATTGACTGGAGTAACTTTCTTTTAAAAATAAGAAGTGGAAATGGAGGGTGAAGAATTGGAATAAGCCTCTAACAAATTTAGTATTTACAAATAACCACCCTAATAATTATTTAACATCTTAAAAAAAGAAATGTTATGCCTGCTAAAAAAATTAAAAATTTCCTATGGCCTTATATGCTTGACTACTAAGTTGAAAAACAGTCCATCTTTCTTTAATAACTATATAAATCAACTTTATTAGATGTGAAATCATCATTAGTTAAAGTAAGAAAGTTGACTTGGAACAGTATGACAATGGTTTACATCAATCGTATTTGAGGCATACCAAGGGTGAATGTTAGACACTAGTATAGGGATGTAGAGTAGACAATTTCATGTTCCATTCAGGAGTCTGGGGGAAAAAGCAGAGCTAGAGATACTGTTTGGGGGTTTCTCAGTCTATATGTGGTATGTAAAGCGAGAAAATATGTAAGGTTATCAATGGAATGACAATAGACAAAAAATCACCCCAAAATTGGCATAGGGAACTCCAAAGTGTAAGGCCTTTTCCAATTTTCCCGAATAAATAATTTAAGAAAAGATTGTGGTTCCTGTAAAACTTGATGGGATGCCTATCAGCTGAGAGACATGGCTTGAGAAAGCCTCTTTGATGGGGTTAAGGTGGCCAACAGCGTAAGAACAGTTGAGAGTGAATGTGTTAGAAAGTCTGCCCAGGTCAAAAGCACTGTTCTTCTCAAAATGCTGTAACCAGTAGGCCATGACATTGTCCCAAGTTTTCCAAAGAGTCAGTTGAAATAAAAATTTGCATCCTCATGATTAGCTGATGAACTTTATACCCCTAAAAACTGCAAAATAGTTACATGTCTTTGTAAGAGACGGTCCTAAAAGTTACCAAAGTTTATAAACATCATGCTATTTTCCACATAATGTTTTCAAAAGATGTTTGAGATTTTTGAAAATTGGATTTATTAGATGTATTACCTACCATTTTAATATTAATTTGGCAGTAATATATAATGACTTTGGGATATTTTGTGTTTCATATTTGATAGTATAACTTATTTTATGTATAAAACATAAATATATACAAATGTATATATAAATATATGTAAATGTATATATACAATATATACAAATATATTGTATATACATATATAATATATACGTATATATACATATATAATATATACAAATATATAATATATTGTATATATACGTATATATTGTATATATACAAATATATACATATGTATATGTATGCAAATATATACATATATACATGTATATATATTTGTATATATGTATATATATTTGTATATCTGTATAGCATATATTTAGAATATAATAAAATCTGCTAAATAAAGGGTTGGTGTTCAGAGGAATTAGTTCATTGTTTCTTTGATGTCCTGCCCCTCCGCAGTCCCCCAAGGTCACTGGTGTTACAGGGCACACATAGGGGGTCAAGGCTGGACTCTCAGCTCTGAGGTTTTTCAAAACATTGTTGAAAGTTTTATTTACAACGTATGATTATCAAAAAAAAGGGCCAATATTTTCCAAGCAGAGATGTGCCTGACTCCCTTCTCCTAACTTCCCCCCTAGCTTCTTTCAATTATTTCTCCTTGGTGGGTGCCCTTCCACCTCCCTGACCACCCCTCTCACAGGGATGCATCCTTCCCAGGCTCCAGGAGCTCTGACCCTTGTGCTGCTGTAGGGAGCCTGTGGATTGCTGGTCATCCTGTCAATATTGCTCACCTTCCAGAGTTCATGCTGTGTGTGTTCTTCCTAAAAGAGCTAGAGAGGCACTAACTGGTCCACACCTGTCACCTGCTCCTTCTCTAGAGGCTGAAAGCTCTACTGCAGTCCCACTACAGTATGTCTATAAATGGTTATATTCCCCCACTCCCACTCCTAACTTAAAGGCAAATCATAGTTTTTGGTCCTACTGAGCCAGAAGAAAACACACACACACACACACACACACACACACTTTCTTAACAGAACAGAGCAGGCAAGGAATCTGTGGGAAAAAAATGCAATTATTTCAACATGATAAAAATTTATTGTCTTTCTGGCCTGTGGATTTAGCTCTGGTTGACTGAAGTTGCTAAGCAGAATGGATTTAAGTAGAGGCGATGGGTCCAGTCACCAGCATACAGACGTCCTCTGCATCACCATCCACACACACGGCTTCTGGTAGACTTCAGGCAAAGCCCTCCATGTTAATATTCATCTGAATATGGATAATTAGGGTGGCTAGCGAGACTGAAAAGAGAATAATGTATAATATGAATGCAATGACTCCATTACTAGGGGAGTAGTAAAGTGATTTCTAGGAAGCTGTCATTAGTGTGAATGTCAAGAAGTTTATTTTCTGACTGGTTGTAGAATCTGCCTTTCTTCCCTTTATGAACATGGCTTCATAATATATGCATTTTCAAAATAATAAATTAATCATTCCCTTCTCTGGAAGGTAACATGTAAAACACACAAAGTCAAATATTCAAGCATATTCCTGTACATCTGTCAGCAGAGCAAAGAGATACTCTGATTATATTTTCTTTACTTATTACCTCTCCAGCCTACTGTATGCGGTATATTTTGTAAGATTCAGAAATGGAAATTGTTGTATATGATATGAAGTCTAATACCCAAGGAGCTACAATGCATTAAAAAGTTCTTATATAGAAATAACATGAAATATAAAGGAACAGAAAGATGTCATCTTATTACATTTTTAATTGATAAGAATTACTGATGCTCGCTATTCTTCCTTTCTTTCATATCATTTCCTTTTTTATTCTTTATTTTCCTCTAAACCAAAAAAAAAATTAACAATCTACCAATTTTTAAGCACTTATGAAGGGCCACCGTGCTTATGCTTTTTCAAACACTATCTCACCCTATCACTTGTTAAAATCTCCACTGCCAGCAGTTACATAGCTTCCTGCTTTTTTTTTTTTTTTTTTTTTTTTGAGATGGAGCCTCACTGTGTCACTCAGGCTGGAGTGCAGTGGTGTGATCTCAGCTCACTGCTACATCCTCTGCCTCCTGGGTTCAAGCGATTCTCCTGCCTCAGCCTTCCAAGTAGCTGGGATTACAGGTAAGTGTCACCATGCCTGGCTAATTTTTGTATTTTTAGTAGAGACAGGGTTTCACCATGTTGGCCAAGCTGGTCTCAAACTCCTGACCTCAGTCAATCCACCCACCTCGGCCTCCCAAAGTGCGAGGATTATAGGCGTGAGCCACTGTGCCCGGCCATAACTTCCTGCTTTTCCCTCATACATGAATGACCGTCTGTGAATCCTAGAACCTTAGACCATGAAGGAGTAGTAAAGATCTTTTATCGGCTACAAATTATATACAACAATGGAGCTTCTGCCTCCACACTCTTTTTTTGGTTTTAATTTTTTAAAAATTCTCTGCCTTGAGATCTCCATATTGCAGGAAGTCAAGGACAAGCGCTCCTATTCACTCCCTAAGGAAGCCTTTCTGGAGGCAAAAGCAGAGTTTGGGGCATGAACAAACATGCAAGGAGAAGGAGGAAAAACATTTGAAATAATAAAAGATGCTGAATTGACAGGATCTAGCAAGCAATTCCATATGAAGGAGGTGGGAATTGGCACCTGGACCACAAAGCTGATGGAAATGGTTTTGGTTCGATAAGCAGCTGAGCAGGTTTGGGAGAATGTGATATGAGCACAGATTTGGAAACATCTCATGAGGTGACATGGGCAGTATCCACAGCATGTCCAGTGGTAGAAACACCAGGCCTGCACGGAAGGTGCAGATTTGGCAATGATGTGGGCTGCTCTGAAAGTGCCATGGAATCAGGAGAGCAGAGGCACAGGTTGACCCACGCTGATCCCCGTCCACTCCGCCTGCCAGAGAACAGAGCTCTGGGGTGAATCCAGCAGGAGAGTTCCAGAAAGCTCCTGCCTCACCTCTGACTCACATTGGCCTCTGTCCCTCTGGTATGGAGGTCACGCTCAACACCCATCCTACGTTTCTTCTCCAAAAATAAATTAGGTCACTCATTTACAAAGGAAACTTACCTATCACCGTTAAAATATCGGAGATTTCTGTCTAGGCCATCTATGGCTTTCATGTCCTCTGAAGTCAACTGGAATTCAAAAACCTATCACAGAAATAAAAAATGTTGATTATTTTTAGATTGCATAATTGCCAGTTGTGAACCCACAAGTATATTAGACAGTTGGGTGCAGAGACAATACTTAAAATATTGGTAAGTTTTAAACAGTTATAGAAGTCATCTCTAAACACTCAGGTGGTCAATGAATATCACATGAAAAATAAGCAGAAATCCATTCCTAGTTATTATATATTGAAACTGCACAACACTGCAGACAAAGAAAAAAATCTCAACAGCAAATGGAGAGGACACAGAGCTGACATTGTGCACACATGATAGGGTCATATACTTAGAAGACCCATAAGAATCTAGAGGCAAATTTTTAAATAACGTAAGATTATGTAGTAAGTTTGATAGACATTGTTGAATTTCTATATCTCTTTAATAAACAGGTATAATGCAAACAACATTTGTTTTCAACATAATTCAAGGCAGGAATTGTCTAAATACTAACAATTTCATGTTTAAAGGAAACAGATACAGGCTTGAAGTGTATCTCACTCTCTAAATTTGAGAGACTTTAAATATCAAGAAGATGTCACTAATTGCTAACACATTGAATTGAATAAATCTATAAATTGAATAAATCACTCTGTAATAGTGATACAGAGAATGAGAGAGAGAGAATAAAAAGCATTAACAAGTTAACAATTAATGAGTCCAGGTAAAAGGTGTTCACTACATTTTTCTTTTAACATTTTTATACATTAGAAAATCCACAAAAAAGGAAAACACTATCAAGAGATTCTAATAATTTTCAGTATTCTATGGATAAATATTTGAAAATATATACATACGGTTTAATGGAGAATGTTACAAAATTAATAAAATATATATTAAAAGGCCATTTAAATAGCTGGAAATTCATCATGGGTTGAAAGTCTCAATATTGTCACAAAGTCAGTTCTTTTCACATTGAGCTGCGGTTTCATTACAATATCAACCAAAGACTAAAGTATGTACTCTTTCACGGATGCTGATGTTTCAAAATTTCATAAAACAGAATAGTCAAGAATAATCAAAATATTATCAAATAAAATAAAGCGTTAGAATAAAAGTTGTACCACTCTGGTAGCAAGACCTTTCACTATTTAGACAGTACAGAAAAGTAAGTCAATTGAAGACAAAAGAGAGGCAGGATATTATTTGTGAATGTTTCATTAATGGTAGAGGTAAAAAATCAAGACGTGTGAGCAAATGTGAACGCTTTTCAATAATTGTTGGTGGGACCCTTTGATATCAATTTAGAAATTCCATGTGCATATTTCGATTTTTATTTTACATTGAAAAAGAAATTCATTTGAATTTACAACTAATTTATAAGTAAAGAGAATTACCAATTTTGCAAGATAACATTAAAAGATTGTCACGTTCCCAATATAAGAAAAGACATGCCACTCATCAACCACAGGAAAGAGGCATGAATAATTTAACTACATGAAATGTAGCGACATTTGTCCATGAAAACGTAACGACATTTTACTTCAATAATACATCTAAATCTCTAAAGGAGTAATACCTGGAATATATATATGTACATATAATACCTGTAATCTATCATATATATCTTATTAAACTATAATATATGTATAATTCCATCATATAGATTAACC